ATTTACTCTGTCAATAGCCCAATTACAAAAGCTCCTAACTAATCTGAAAAGCAAACCAGGCCCACCAAATGAGACACAGCATTCTTTTTTTCTTTTTTTACATTTTTTTATAAATTTATTTTTTATTGGTGTTCAATTTGCCAACATATAGAATAACACCCAGTGCTCATCCCATCAAGTGCCCACCTCAGTGCCCGTCACCCCCACCCCCTGCCCACCTCCTCTTCCCCCACCCCTAGTTCGTTTCCCAGAGTTAGGTGTCTCTCATGTTCTGTCTCCCTTTCTGATATTTCCCACTCATTTTCCCTCTTTTCCCCTTTATTCCCTTTCATTATTTTTTATATTCCCCAAATGAATGAGACCATATAATGTTTGTCCTTCTCCGATTGACTTATTTCACTCAGCATAATACCCTCTAGTTCCATCCACGTCGAAGCAAATGGTGGGTATTTGTCGTTTCTAATGGCTGAGTAATATTCCATTGTATACATAAACCTCATCTTCTTTATCCATTCATCTTTCGATGGACACCGAGGCTCCTTCCACAATGTCCAATTGTGGACATTGCTGCTATAAACATCGGGGTGCAGGTGTCCCGGCATTTCATTGCATCTGTATCTTTGGGGTAAATCCCCAGCAGTGCAATTGCTGGGTCGTAGGGCAGGTCTATTTTTAACTCTTTGAGGAGCCTCCACACAGTTTTTCAGAGTGGCTGCACCAGTTCACATTCCCACCAACAGTGCAGGAGGGTTCCCCTTTCTCCACATCTTCTCCAACATTGGTGGTTTCCTGCACAGCATTCTTTAAACTGGAAGTTGAGGACTAAAGTACAACAGCTATCCTAAAATTCTTGAGCAAATTCTGAGAAAGGTTTGAGCTCAGCTAATACCAGCAGAGTACATTCCCTTTTATTAAAGTTGATGAAACAGTTATAAAGAAACATCATTTGTGATATAATCCTAAAATAAAAATAAACTTGGGAATGTATTCTGATAATATATCCCATTGTTCTTCCAGATTGGTTCCTGCTGTTTAATTCCAATATTCATTGTCTAAGTCAAGATACTACTATAAGGCCTAAAACACTGCACTGTTTTATGAAAAGGAGCTAGTACACTGCTTCTGTAGTGTTTTCTCATAATACTACAAATTCACATTTTTCATTATTAATGTATTGTACTTCTAATAGAATGTTAATATAATGTGCATATAAATGGATTTCTGATCATGTGAACCACCACTGCATAAATTTAGTTCCTCCTTCTCTGACCTCAACACCAATATTAGGGCAGATCACCAGACATTACCCACACACAATAAGTCTTTCATTCCCTGAAAAAAAAAATGCCTTCCTCAATAAGTATTTAACATTATATCCTAAGAGAAAGGAATAGATAAAGATATATAGTGTTATATATATATATATATATATATATATATATATATATATATAGTGTTTTATATATATATGTGTGTGTGTGTGTATATATATATATATATATATATATATATATATATACACACTAAGATCACCCAAAGAACAGTTTTCTCTCCTCTGTTCTTTTTCCTTTCCTATATTTCTGTTCTTACTATTAATCCTTCCCATGCTTTCTCCGTGGTTATCATTCAATATAATAAATAAATACAAATTAATTGCTTTAGGCACACTGTTACTTTAATTTAAAAAACTGAGAAGCAAACACTAAATTCAATCTACCTGTATCCACATAATAATTACTGAGCACCAAATACTTGCAAGTCTCTGTGCTAATGGCTGGGGAGATAATTCTCACTCTCTTAGAGCTCCTGTCCAGCAAGTAAACATAGAAATTCCAACAGGGATGAGAGCTAAAAATGGGAAAGTGCCATTAGACAGAGGTATTTCAGGGGCATTTACTCTTCTTTGCCAGAAGAGGAACGAGGAAACATGAGGGAATGAGGAAGGAAGAAGAAAACAGCCTCCATCAAGCATGAAGGGTAGTAGGACCTACCCAATTAAATAACTGAAAAACATTCAAATTCCTATTGAGGCTACCCTTAAAAATATATATATATGAGTTAAGATAATTACCTGAAAATGACTAAAAAAAAGCTACTTACCTCTGATCTTAATTATTTGCATATTATAACTGAAGAAGCTTCTTTCCACTTCACTCTTCTAACACAGAACTTACCTTGTTTTAAAACTAACATATCTAACAGAAGGATATTAGTAATATAAATTTTACTTGACAAATGGGCCTTGAAACTGAGTATCAGAGTAAACCACTGTCAAGAAAAAGAGAAGTAAAACAAAGAAAAATACATGTATATATATATTTTCAGTGCCTCATGTAGCACTGAAATAGATAACTGACAAAATTACTTTTCAGTAATAATCATTATTCTTTTGATATGTTCTTTAACTTTAAAGCAATGGAAAAATCTTAAAAGGGAAACAAATTTCAAAGTTAGTACTCAAATTCAGTAAATTGTTACACAAATGAAAAAAATTTTTTACATATGGACTTCACATATATAAAATTTGCATTTACTTAACACAAATATTACCCCTGGCAATTCATACTGTTCCACTGTCATAATTTAGAAATTGAAATAAAAATTCTAAATGATCACATAAAATAAGAGAATTGAAGTGACTCTATTTCTAGTTTTTTGTCTTTACAATCATCGTGTCATCTTTGTTTATTTTGAATCTGCTGTTTAAATGCATAAGGAATATAATGGTTATTAAAGTATAATAATAAAATGGGCGATTTGAATCATACATACATATTATTAAAAGTCAATTCTAACCACAGTAATTGTTTAGAACTTAGAAAAAGTTTTGAGGAAAACATTTTCTCACTTAACATTTAGAATTGCTAGAACACAGTGATAGTAAAAAGCAGACCAACTTTCAGTTGGTTTTATTATTGTTTATAAATATCTAGATATAATGCCCTTTCTTAATGATTGCTCCCAGGGTAGAATGTTCCCATCACTTCACCTTTGGTATGAGTATTTTTGACTCAAATAGTTTTTAACCCAAAGTTGAAGAGAGCCATGAAATCACTTATGTGATATATATTGATGATGTACAGGACCAGCTTCTGGGGACTGTGACTGCACATAGGGCCCCATACTCAGAAAGAACCCCATGGTTGGCCTTTAATGCTCTCATATCACAGTCTGATGGAGTGATGAAGCATATGTCCTAGACTTACATTTAGTTCTGCCTCCCTCACCCAACAATCGCTGTCACCCTTGGCAAAAGGCAAAGTGGGTCACAGTCATGGGGAAAAGCCACAGATACCTGTGAGGGTCTGCATGTTCCTACAAGTATCCCTAAACACTAGAGAGACTAACATTAAATAGCAAATAAAAATTACCTTTGTTGGGCCAATCAAGACTGTGAAAAGGGAAAAAGTTTTTTGTCCTGCTTTTGAACAAAAACACTTGCATTTTCATTTTGCATCAAGCTCCACAATTACGTAGCCATCCTTGACTATGTATGTAGGTGACTGTGCATGTATATCTTTTGTATCTAAAGGAATAAAACAACTTTATCTATATCTGATGAAGTGAAATTATCTATAATTTTATAGTTTAGAGATAAAATAACTTAAATATAATTGTATTTTTATCTATAATATGAGAATAATAATTTTAATAGTTTACAGATCATGAGAGAAGGAAATCCAATACAATATTATCTTTTGAGTTTCTTATAACTGATGACTTCCCTTAAAAAATCTTTAAGAATATATTATATGTTCTCTGGGTTCATATTTGCCTTATATAATTTTCTATTTCTTTTGCTGTGTCATGATTTTCCATAAAAAATAATAAAAAATACTGGAAATAGAAAAAGAATATATCATATGCTAAAAATGGAGATATTCTAGCTTAGAAGCAGGATATGATGTTACTAACATGTTGTTCTTATTAACACAATCTGCTTTACAACTTTGATTTCTTGACAGGCAAACGATTTTTGGTCGGGAGCCAAAGTCATCAAATATTAAGAGTATGGAGATACATCAAATGTGCAGAAGGAGCCTTAAAACTTATTAACTAATTTTAGCACATTTCAATTATTCATATAAATTACTTATCCTGAACAATCCTAAATCTTCAACTTCACACCAAAAAGTCATATGCTTTCTAACTAATAATTTTCAAAATGTACCCTTATAATTCTTTAATTATTCCATTTATAAGGCAGATGAACAAAATATTTTATAAATATATATTGTTATATATTAATTATATATATTATAAATCCTTCATTTTGTTTAGCTCTATTATTTAAGGAAGCTTTATGAACAATATATGCCTCCAATGTCTTCAAGGCTTTCTTCTCTATTTTGAAAACAGCAATAAGATTTGAATGTAAGAATTGGCATAGATACTCCATAGATCGATGTAGATATGTACATATGAAATGAATATATCATATATAAAGATGATGAAGTGAAACTAAAAGCACCTTGAAACAAATACTTTTGCATCTCTCTAAATTTAGACAGCATTTTTATTATTCCTATGAGATAGCTAAAACTCCAAAAAAAATTGTGACATTATGTCACATGTGAAAAAGGTTAGGAGCTAACGTTACAAATTACATGAGCTCCTTACACCTTCAAAAATGACCCCTGATCCTGCAGCATTAACCCTATCTAATACTGTCTAAACTCTAATTTTGTTATTCACCAACATAATCCTGCCCTTCTCATCATTTTCCTTTTATCCTTTAAATTGATGTCCAACTCATTTCTTTTCTCTAACATTGACTCCTTTCCTCAACTAATATTTAAATACCGCCTCAAACAAAACAATTACACAGTTGGATCCCATCCCTAGAAACTACTATATCAATGCTGTACTCTGTAAGCAGCACCCAAGCAGAAAGCCAACCTATGTAACACATGTACTCATTTATAATTTATCACATTTGTACACAGAAAGAACTTCAGCACATATCCGTGTATGGGATTGGTGGAAAGCCAGTTACCTACATTGTTCATGTACTCTGAAAGCAGATCCTGGAGAGCCTGGCGAATGGCATTGCATTCTGCAATAATCCGTTCCCGATGGAAATCTCTTGTGCATGAAGAGTCAGCCAATAGTGCAGCCCCACTGATAATAGCTTCAAGACGCTTCTCTAGTGATGGTCTAATTTCTTCCTCAGTCACTGTGAGCGGATCCAAGACAATTAAATTCTAAAGGAAGAATACATTTTGATAATTAGAACTCCACTGCATTGTTTTTAAGAAAAATAAATATTATTTCTCTTTCACAGTTATAATTCAGAGGTGATAATAAAGAAAATTCCATTTCCATGCATTATTCTAGGTAATAATTATTATTCAAGTGAGAGATAAAAATTGTGCAATTATGAGCATCAAGTCTAGTGTCAGACAAACTCATATCCATATTCTGCCTTTCCCACTCACCAATACTGTGAGCTCAATCAAGTAGCATACCCTTTGAACCTTACCTTCCTGATCTGTAAAACTGAAATATTAATGTCTCATAAAACTGTTGTAAGAATTATGTGAATGCTTACTATAGTGCATAGCACATATTAACTATTATTTACAGTAGTCGCCTTAGTATAGAACTTTATTGTTTATGTAATATTTTCACATATATTATCTCAGGGCAATAAAGATATTGTTAACTACACATTTCAACTGATGATGAGTCAAGCTGAGGCTCTCTTGCCCAAGGTCACTGGGCAAATAAACAGTGATTTCAGAGGAGTTTCTGGGTTGTATAATACCTATTTCAATATTATTTTTATTATGCCTCACTCTAAATCATACACTCCAATTAACCTCAACACTAACATATCAAAGAGAATTCTGAATTTAATTATTTATTTAATAAGTAAAACTCTATCTTCCATTTGATCTATTATAAATTCCAGCTATATCCCACTATTGGATCCTGACAGGATATTTTTAATGTTTCCATTTTATGCAAGTTTTCAGGCAACAGAAGTCAACACAATCTATGGCCTATGAAGAAAAGATGGATAATATGAGGCTTTAAGGGTTCTTTTATTAAAATATATCAAGAAAAGAAGCCCTTCCAAGATTTAACCATAATGTGGTAATTGGAGAAAGAATTAGTATCAAATTAAAGCTCTCTGAAGAACCTGTAGCATAAAATGAAATCATATAATGATCTTCAAAATGTATTTGCATATGTGAGTATACACATACAAACACAAACACACAGAATGATCAGTGTATAATCTTACATATATGTATACACACATATGCAGAGGTGTACATATATTGTGTGTATATGTATATCTTACATTAATCATTGCCCTAAATTACATTATGATAAATCTTTGGAAATCAAAAGTAGGATAAAATTTTTAAAACTTCAATTCTAGGCCAAGTTTGGAAGAGAAAATCATTTCAGAAAGACAAAACGTTTCAAAACAATTAGAAAAAAAGAATTAGTACTATGTAATGTTCATATACTATATAAAATACAACTAGAAATAGATCTTTTATGTAATTGGTGAAATGTCTTGAGATTATCCAGAATAATTCTTTCTCTCGTGATTCTATTTCCTTCCTATTTTTCTCCTATGTTAATGAGTCTCTCCATTTTTCTCTTTTATATGAACAAAAAATGAAAAAAATAGAAAAATTAATTTTACAAACATCAATTTTAACATTTTCTTTATCCAGTGCATAATCTTCTCAAATAGACAATAACTCTACCATAGACTTGGCCATCCATCAAAGACTCATTTACATCTAAATCTACCTCCTTATTTCATTTGCAATTTTTACCATGTCTTTCTTTGCCTGACTAATTTAGCACAAATATTCTATTCCAGTGTTTCATAACAATTATTAAACCAATTAAACTCTTTTTGAAAAGATCTCTTCAATGTGATATTATCACTAAGAATAGACACTGAGGACAAAAGAACTGCTTGCTCAAATGCCATTAGAAGATGTGTTAGAAACAGTTAGTATGTCTCCAGCTTATAATGTGTAAAACTGATTAAATTTCAAATGTTTATCTATAAGTATTGCTAGAAGAAATGCAATTTTAGATGTTCTGTCTATGACTTCACATCAGAAAACAACCCTTCTTATAGGATTAAGCTCACTGTAGTTCCTGCTCTATAAGACCATTTCTCAAACAATCCTACTTTTGGATTAGTACCTGCTTGACTCTTAAGCCAGATTCTTTCATCTCATCTAAACTCAAATTATTGCCTACTCTGACATCTGATATCCACATGCAGGCCTCTTGATTCTGCCTAAAACTACTGTCTTCCTATTTACATTCTATAAAAGTTTTCACTCTCCTTGACATCAAATAAATGAAAAGGTGAGAGTTTTTTATATAACTTGAATATTCTATAAAGTAGAATGGATATGTGCTATCTACTGAAGTAAAAAATTATCTTTCCGAAACATCAGTAAGATGATGAAAGAGGTTCCACACTTCATAGAAACTGATTTAACAATGACCCATGAACTAGAATACCTTTATAAAAGTCTTATTGTACAGCTGAGAAGTTCCAGAACCCCTGTGGAGCAAAAAACCAAAGAACAGAGCATTGAAGAGGATAAAAAAAAAAAAAAAGAAAAAAAACCTACCTTCTCTTTATCTGTGTCAAGATAGCACAGCCTAGAGCCTACAGAGACTACCTTCACCTACAATTTATTGGGCTAGGAAAAGTGAGAGCAAAGTGAGCCTTCAGCTTCCCCAGCCTTGTGAAAAGGCTGTCCAAAAGGCCCACATCCATCTTTCCATACCCATACATTGAAAGCTTAATAGTCTTGGGATAGGTAAGAGAGAGAAAAAGGCAAGAGGTCAGAACAACCAATGCATGAATTTTAACCACTGGCAGATCCTACTAACTGGAGTATGGCTTCTAATAAGAACCCTGTCCATAACCCAGTAGGACCTCTGCCTATAGATCCTACAACAAGCCAACATGTACTACCAGCATTCCATGTAACCCCTTACTCCCTGTAGCCAACACCCCAAGCTCTCCTGCAGACATATGAGCTCCCACAGAGCATACAAATATTAGCATCTAGCTGTATCTGCTGGATTAGGATTATTATTAGGATAACCTTGAACACTTCAGGGCAAAGCTCTCAGGAAGATAAATAGAAGAATCTCAGCACCTGCACCTGGCCTTGCTTTGCAGGATCAAGCTAATACACAGAGTCTAAGACCTTACCCCCAGGGGGAAAAGGAGGAATAAACCAAGTGCATACATAGAAAGAGTCTGAGAGAACCCACTATCTCTAGCATCTTTGACTGGTGAAGATCTTTCTCTCCTGAAGCCAGTCATGCTTCAAATGAGACAGCATGCAAGGTTTCAAGGAGCATGAAGAATCAAAGAAATATGGTATCACCAAAGGAACAAAATAAAGCTCCAACAGCTGATCCTAAAAAATGGAGATTTAGGGATCCCTGGGTGGCGCAGCGGTTTGGCGCCTGCCTTTGGCCCGGGGCGCGATCCTGGACCCCCGGGATCGAGTCCCACGTCGGGCTCCTGGCGCATGGAGCCTGCTTCTCCCTCTGCCTGTGTCTCTGCCTCTCTCTCTCATTCTGTGTGACTATCATAAATAAATAAAAATTTAAAAAAAGATTAAAAAAAAAGAATGTTTAAAAAAAAATGGAGATTTACTAATTGCCTAAAAAATAATTCAAAATAATCATCTTTACAAGTTCACCAAGGTAAGAGAGAGAACAGACAACTCTATCAAGTCAGGAAAATAATACATGAACATAATGGTAAGTTTAACATAAAGACAGAAATCATAAAAAAATAATCTCTGGGGCTGAAGAATACAATCACTGAATTGTATATCTACTAAAGAGGTCAAGAATCGCTTAGAACATGCAAAAGAAAGGATCAATAAACTCAAGAACAAATCTTTTGAAATTACATAGTCAGAGGAACAAAAAGAAAAAACTAGTAAAAAGAGTAAAGAATAATTAAAGGTCTTCGGAACACCACCCAAAAAAAATCAATATACATATTATGGGAGTCCCAGAGGAGAAGAGAAAGAAAAAGGTTCAGAAATCTTATTTAAAGATATAATGACCAAAAAAAATTTCACAACTGGGGAGGGAAATAACACCCAGATCCACAAAGTACAAAGAACCCCAAACAGATTAAATATAAAAAGATCTTCATCTAGACATATTACAATCAGATTGTCAAAAGTCAAAGACAAAATAGAATTTTGAAAGCAGTAAGAGAAAAGCAACTTCTCTAATACAAGGGAGCCCCCATAAAATTATCATCACATTTCTCAGCAGAAATCTTGATTGCCAGGAGAAAGTGAAATGATATATTCAAAGGATTAAAAGAAAAAGGTGGCAACCAAGAGTACCATAACTGGCAAAGATGTTTTTCAGAAGAAAAGATAAAGACATTCCCAAAGAAAACCAAAGTTCATTACCACTAGGCCCACATTATAAAATATGCTAAAGAGTTCAAGTTGAAACAAAGCACACTAATTAGGAACATGAAAACATTTGAAAATGTGAACGTCACCAGTAAAGATAAATATATAAATTCAGAATACTCTTAACATTGTAATGATGATGGATAAATCACTTATAACTGTAGCATAGCAGTTTTAAAAAGTATTAAAATAACCAAATCTACAAAAATTTGCTAATGAACACAGTATTAAAAAATTTAAATTATAATAGGAATAACAAAAAATGTTAATATAAAATATAAAAATATATTTTGGGGGGATTCTGGGTGGCTTAGTTGGTTGAATGTCCAAATCTTGATTTCAGCTGAGGTAATGATCTCAGGATCATGAGATTGAGCCCCACATTGGGCTCCATGCTCAGTAGGGAGTCTGCTTGAGATTTTCTCTCTCTCCCTCTCTCTCTGTTCTTCCCCCCCAAGAATAAATAAATAAATCTTTTTTATAAAAGTATATGGTTTTTGTATACTGTCAAAGTTACATTATCAGTTTAAAATAAACTATAAAATGTGTTATGTAAGCCTCATGGTAACCATAAAAAAATAATCCTGGGGCTCCTAGACAACTCAGTCAGTTGACTCTTGATTTCAGCCCAGGTCATGATCCCAGAGTTGTGGAATTGAAGCTTGTGTCAGACTAATCAATAATTAAAAATCACCCAACAAAGAAAAGCATAAGACCTGAAGTTTTCTCTAGTTAATTCTACCAATCAT